AAAAGGCGGATATCAGTTGAGTCTAGAAATATGTGAAAGAAAATACGCGCGGCGAAGCCGCGCTCGCCCGGCGCAGCCGTATCAGAAGGAGGCGCGCCGGCGTTAGCCGGCGAAGAGAGGAAGAAGCTTGGTGGTCTTTGGCATAGAGGAGTCGGCTCCCAACACTGCACCTTCCATTAAACAACGGGAGCTTGAGGGGAAGGTTGGTCAGATTCTGGATTGCTTGGGGGTCGAGTGCCGCCCCGTGGAGGTGTACCGCATGGGGAAACCTGGCGGTGCACATCCACGGTTGGTAAAGCTCGTCCTCCCATCCAAAAGCCATTGGACCACCGCCCTGTCAAATAGTCACCGTTTACGTGCCGGGGGACATCCGAACATCTTCATACGTAAAAGTTTAACCCCCGCGGAGCGCAAGCATGAATTCGAGTTGAGGCAGGAGTGTAGGGAGCGCAATAAGCAGGCAAGCGGCCGTCTTTGGGTGGTGTACCGTGGCGAGTTAAGGCGGGTCGACGAGCTTCCCAAAACGCGGGGTTCGGGAAACAAGTGGGCGGAGTCAGACGAATAATCTGTAAAACAGCTCAAGAGTACTTCAGACACCGGAAAAAAGTGGAGTACAGAACAAAAGGCGGATATCAGTTGAGTCTAGAAATATGTGAAAGAAAATACGCGCGGCGAAGCCGCGCCCGCCCGGCGCAGCCGTATCAGAAGGAGGCGCGCCGGCGTTAGCCGGCGAGCCGACTGGTAACATATATACTATTTACATGTTGTCATAGAGTACCGTGAATAAACGGCTAGAAAAGCTAATGCAGAGTTCATCCGTCAATTTGCTAGTATTCTTGGGATGGGGCAAGTTTGTGAATTCCTGACAACGTACTGGTTAAGCGGACGCAGAAAGCTACCGGGTGACAAGTTACATGTATATTACGGCGTAACATGGGACGCTTGATTGCAGCAGTGGAACGAAGCTGATGATGACCAATATCAATGAAATGCGCATGCATGCAAATCTATTATGTATCCTAGAAGCGTCTAAGTGCCGCAATGAGCGGCCAGACTTTTTGGCTCAATATCCAGCTCTGCTATGAAACTGGTAAGACGCTTTGTTAAGACTGGTATTTGCACGACGGTTGCCACGTGCAGCATTGGGTTGAACCGCGCGTGATCACACAGGCTGTGTTACGTGGTGATGATAACCGCTGCCTACAGTCCATCGTTGATCTTCTCGCCGAGCCCAAGTCATTGGGCTAACTTTCAAGCCTATCGGGCTCAAAATCACTGGTCTTATATGGATGATCTCGGTCAGCGGTCAGCTCAGAGGTGAGTTAAAAACATAGACCTTCTTTAAGCAGAACTCATCGAAGTATTCACCAATTTACCGCTCCCTAACATAGCACATAATGGTAAGGAAATTCTCGGAGCCTGACAAGAACAGCAGTGAGTTGCACGGGAACAATGATCACAAAACATTTATACATGTGATAGGTCTCACATGAATTCATTAATTATTCATCAGTTACAAGTTGGAATTATTGAAGTTATGTTCAATGCCACCGAACTATGAGAAATGTGTAAACACCTTGTATACATGAAAGTTTATACATGGGTAATAATGCATGATGAGTGCGTGTTTTCATGAGTACGTGTGAATATGTTAGTATGTACGTTGATGTGCTATTGTATACATGTATATGGATGTGTATGTAACATTACATTGCGAGCAGAAAAAAAGCTATTTCTTGGTGTTGTATCGGAGGAATCAAGTCTCTTATTAAAGATGATAATGCACACCTCTCTTAGAGATGGTATTTAAGAGGTGTGCGACAGCTTTCATCAGTTTTTGTGTATTTCACTGAGTTGATAAACTCTACAGTGCAGTCGTCTCATCGGAACCTCAGAACAGAACCAGGAGCAGGGATTCAGTTCTATCAGTGGCTCGCTCGTGAGCGGTTGTGTCCGCGTCTCACTGAGGTTAATTTTTTTCTCTGAATTATTCATTAGTTCTTCCCCGGGTTTTCCATTGTTCAGGTTGTTCTTTTCTGCTGAATCAAAAGGGACTAGTCCTTGTAGGCTACAACTCACTGCCATTAGTTCTGCCATTTACATTGGCTGACACACCCACCAACAGGTTGCAACCCGTTCTCGTGTTGGCACTGCTGGCACAACATATTCGTGTTGGCATTGCTGGCATACCGTATTGTGAATCGTATTGCTGACGTCATTCCCTGTATAAATTTTTTGCCCCTGTTTTGACCTGTTGTTGCAAGATCCTTGAGTCCATCCATAACAAATGGCGCGTGGGACAAAGAGAAACAAGAATATCGAGAGCAATGAGAATGATTACCAGGACCTCCCATTGTGAACACTGAAAATGATTAGAAAATATGATTCGTGTGCTGATCGGTTGGAGAGGGCGTTTTTTGAGAAGAACATTGACAAGTTTGAAGAGATTAACACTCGACAAAATGAAATTTTAGCTCGCATCTCAGCTTTAGAGCAAAACGTTTTGAGTCTTTTCGTAACGGAGTGCTAACAGAAATGCACTCTCCGAATTTTTTCTAATTTGCCTCCTTAGCAAATTACGTGACGAGACAATTTCCTGGATACATTCCCCTTTACGCCACCGTCTGTCAGCAAGACTTGCATCTAGCAGAGAAACTTTTAGTCTACGGACGTTTGCCCTGACCCCATCATTGTTTGTGTAAGGCACTCCCGATAGTAGCTCTTCTATGAATCTAGGCACAAGTTGAGACGTTTTACACCTTGATAGGAATCGTATGAATTCATCATACGATACTGGTGCTTAGTGGTTTGCTATATACTTCAGAATGACAATATGAGACGGAATATGAGACGTATGGGGAGGGATGAGCCTTTAACTATCGTCTTAACTTTTACCGCCAAGAAATGCACTGCGTTCAAGATGGTAAAGGTGAAAGCTGATGAAAAGAAGATAGATGACAAGGCGAGACGAATTGCTTGGATTGGCGTAGGTGAACAAAAGGATGACATCTCGACAAGGAAATTCGATAAAGAAGCCCTAAAAGAGGATAGAAAGGGCTGGTGATGATGAGCTGATGGACGAATTTCTGAAGGGCAATATCACAGCTCATCGCCATCCAGCCAAGAGGAACGAAGGGACGCGGACTTGCTATCAAGATCTGTCTACCGTCTCGAGAGAAGGGATAGGCTGTTGCAATACCTAAGATTAGGACGTCGTAGTCTAACTAAAAATTTTGCGCATTCCTATGCGCAACGTGATTGTGCGCCCGAGTAATTGGAGTTGGATCGCACTCTGCGAAAACAAGCTGGTAAGTGGAATGCGAATTTAGGAGAACTGCAATATATGGTGAGAGATCTCCAAATTCACAGGTTACGAAAGCCTACTGAGCTCCCAAATCGCACCACTTCCGTATCCCAAGGATCAGATGGCCCTTCTTTCACACAGGCAAGTCAGGATATGGCCCTGTCAGGACTTATCCAGTCTGGGACAACTACAAACTTGACCGCTGAACAGTGGATAGGGCTCAAGGAGGTACGGGACAAAATTAGACACGGAGAGATACGCCTATCCGTGAGCGACAAGGGTGGAGAATTTGTCGTTTTACCTTGCCAGCTAGATCGTCAAATGACGGAGCTGCACTCAGCGACGCCTCCATTTACTCGCGAGCAACAGAAAGAAACTTTCTGCTGCAGTGTCATAGGTTGAACACAGCATGGAATTCAGTAGGCAAGGCAGCTGGATTGGATGAAAGTTTTATCAGCAGATTGAAATTGGATCACCCGACCTGTCCCGTATTTTACAGCCTGATGAAAACGCACAAGCTGTCAACAGACAACATGCGGTCCATGGTGGCAAGTGTT